ATATCAAGTTGCAATTATCTTCGTTGTTGAACTTCCTTGCACATTAGAGGCTCTGTGGTGTAAGAGTTAAGTATGCTTGCAAGTGATTGCAGAATGGAGGCTTAGCTACCCGGGAAAGAGATGTGGACTAAATAAATGGAAAAAAGCCATCAGAGACACTAAGAAAGGATACTTCAAAAGCCTTCATTAATAACTGCTCAGAAATAGTAATCTTATTACTTACTAGTAGAAGCAGCATTTTAAGGTTACTTACTAGTAGAAGCAGCATTTTAAGATACATGTTCTCCCTGCCACTTCCCAAAGTCAGTGGGTGGCTACATCTTACTAATGCTTTGAGCGCTTTCAAAAGTTATTGTTCTACATCAATGCATACTGTTGCGATTGTAAAGTAATGAAATATGGGGTACATAACTTATACATCCTGGGTCTTAAGAGACAAATACAAGATAAGACAGTAAAATAATAAATCTTTGCAAAACCAGTACTTACAGTGGAGACCAGAATCTTTCCAAGTAACAAAGTAATCCTGGAGAAGCAACTTTTATTCTTACCCAGAGTGGAACAGAAACAGTCCTGGATGTCATCTTTAGCTATACCTGATTTCTTTTTGAAGGGACTGAAAAAAAAAAAAAGAAAATAGTCTTTCCATAATTCTGTGGTCTTCTTTATTTCCAGTCTGTCCCTGCAGTAACACTGAAGTTACTCCAGGCTACATGTGACTGTGGCCTGCAAGCAGTAGCTGTGCACTCCCCATCTACCTACACCACCTACACTACCTACACTACCTACACCAGCAGCCTCCTACACTCAGGCAGAAAGGTCCATGTATTTTCCTGACTGCTCTGAGCATCAGACATAACCCCTTGCCTCTTGCTGTCACTTTTGAATCACACTGCTGCAGCTGTAGTTGTTATTCTGGACTAAAACCACAGTAATTTTCACATTTTTTTGCACTCTCAATGTGGCAGATAAGTAAAATGTTTTTTATGAACTCAGCCTTTCAGACAGATTTTGATTTGTTGAGCACTTTTCTGAAGTATTTATGTTAGTCCACTGATTTTGTTCACATCACATGAAGAAAATTTTATGTGGTAAATCATACTTTGATTTCTTATACATAACTAAATTTGGCAGGACTATTGTCCGAACCTGGAGTTGGTATTGAAAGATTTACTTTGGATTACACTGATAAAATACAGTTTGTAAAATGAAGATGTTTTCAAAACCTAAGGAATAACCAAAACTAACTAATAAGTTAGGAACTAAGGAATAAAAATAACTAAGGAATAAAAAAACTAACTAATCTTCCACTTCTTATCTATGTTATTTTTTTGAAAGTCAGTCAACCAGCCATTGCATAAGCAGATTATAGAATTTCCTTTGCTGTTGCTAGAAAAATTTAAATCATTTAACAATAACTTCTGTGTTTAGAGTTATGCATATTTAATCTTTAGATAAATGTTTTCTTAAGCTTCCCTGTACAGAAATTAGTCAGCTAGGGCATGTTCAGATTATAGTATGATCTGAAGTCCAGCATTCTTTTTTTGCCTCTAACTAGTCTCAGATAATTCTTCAGCTTCACAATCAAGCTGATAACATACCTATATCACTTAGAAGAAACAAAGTAAAGTCACCCTTGTTCACTCTGACCTGGGTTTTTTGTACCACTAACTGGAAAAATAAGAAGAGTTATTTACAGTGCTCATTTTTTATTTCAAGAACATTGTACTCTAAGGGTCTGCACTTCAGTATGAACAAAATGGGATGAGGTATTATGTACAAATACTTAACGTGATTTTTAAAACATATAACAGCTTTAGTTTGATTTACTGATCCCAGCTGTCTAAAATCTTGACAGATTTATCAAACTGATGATTTTCTTCTCAGTACTGGCAAATCCTGTTGCATGCTGAGAGCCAGTATGAACTAAGTTCTCCCAAACCCCAAATATCTACTGTAGAATCCAAAGGAAAGGACTTCGGACAATGTATCGACTTTGCTTGCATAGAACAAATCTGAAAATTTTTGGTACAGTTTCAATCAACACAGACATAATTTGAGGATTATTTACTTAAAAATGAGGACTAACTGTGGCCATCAGAACACTGCAGTACAGGTTATTTCAGCTACTCTTCTCACAGTGAACACATCTTATTAACACTCTGTATTTACTATCAATACATACTCAGAATTTAATTTGAACCCCTAAACGTCTACATAAATTTAGCTGCTTGCAAAACAGTCTTTCTCTCCTCAGGATTCAGAAAGTTCAGATTACCCAATGTATCTAAGCCCTTGCTTTTATAAGAAGCAGATTCCATGATGATGGATGTTCCTGGCAAGCTTTAAGAGACCCTGTGCACTTCTGTAGTAGTTCACCATTATGCTGTGATAAGATTCCATTAGGAATTACCATAGGAATGTGTTTTTTCTACTTTGAATTTGGCAATATTCTGAATACAATAGACCTTTCCTAGTATTCTTGAGAAGGAAGTAGATACAGTTAAGGAAATAACTCCAGGAGAGTAGAACTCTTTCATTCGTATTTCATGTTACCCTTCTCTAAAATTAGGCAGCTAAATTAAGTAGATGATGAAGCTTTACTGAATTCCATAAATTCAGTATCAGTCAATTAGTCAAACCAGAGTCTCGGAAAGACACTGAAAATACTCGCAAAAAGCCATAAAATATACAAAATTCCATTTTTAAAAGTATTTAAAAATACAGTACCTGGAAGATTCTTTAGGGCCTTAGGAGTACTTAGTGGGTTTTCTGGTAGGTATTCTTCAGGTTTTTTGCCTTTTAATTCTGGAATGTTCATCCTTCACCTATTATTAAATATAATAAATATCAGAAGACATTTACATTCCATTGTCTCTTATTTCAGCTATGTAAATGTATTGTGGAGTTCATGAAACCATACAGGATTTTTTATATAACTACATCAGAGCTTCAGAATCAAGTTATATATTCTGACAACATTAGAAATAAAAATAATTTTAAATGCTATGGAAAATCACCCATTTGCCACCTATGGCAAATTGTCTTCAAAGAAACAGCAGCATCAGAATAAACTTCCTAAGATGTACATACATCATTAAATGATGAAGACTAATATTAAACTCCTCCATGTTATTAAAGAAATAATAAGTGGAAAAATATTTTTTTTTGTCTGTGACTAGGACAGACTGGAAGGGAAATCCTCATTCAACTCAAACAAAAAGGATCCATATATTTAACTCAATCTACAACTTAATTAAACACATCTTAAGTGGATATTGAAGCATACACAATGTCATGATGTTAAGTCAACCGTTTGGCTGAGTTTTATCCAGTCATCTCTCCAGTTGACTACTAACATGAATTATTCTGCACAAGTCACATGAATCACACCAGCAGGAAGTCTGAATGTAATTGTCCTCTTCACATTGCCCATAGGCTCCTATGTTTGTGCAATTCAATTAGTTTTCTCCAGATCTTTTTCTTCTCCCTGCAGCAGCATTTGAAGAGTGCACTGCTGTCCGTACAGCTCTGTCAGTGCATGCTCATGGTTTGTTAGCTTGGGATTGAACAAAAGAGAACGCCTAGCAAGACCTCCTGCAAATAGACAGATAGAAAATAGTTATTAGATGACATCACACCAGTATGACATGGCTTTTTTTCCAAAACGCAAAGATAAGCATTGTGAAAAAACCCTGTCAAATAGAGAAGTATGTTTTCTCTGCTTTGTAGTAATTAAACTGGATAAAATTGTGACAATCTGGTTACAAAAGTGGTCAGGTGTGCACTGTAGGTGGGGTAGCCCATTGCTCTTCATGTTAGCAAAATCTCAAGGATTGTTGTGACGGAGCAGTTAAAGTTTTAATTCTGGGAATCAGAGTAGCAATTGTGACAATGTTTCCAGGGTCAAAGTGACCAATAGTATTTTTGGGTTTGTTCATTTGGACCTCCTAAGAACCGTTATCTGAATGAAGCATTTTTCTCTGCCTCACAATTAATCAGCAAAAAAATGGAAAATATTAATGCAAATTCAATTAGTTTAGCACAATCATATGGGTATTACAGAAAATACATATTCAGTCACAGGGCACCTTACAGGAATCATTGTGGTCTGTTAGTAATTTGAGGACTGGCCTGTTTCAGTAATAGCCTAATATCTTCCAAGGTTCTGGTCTTTGTTAAGAATTTCTTAATAGGTATGTGAAATACAGGCAGTTTCAAATCTCAATTACATGATCAGAGACCAATAACAGTCAAAAAAACAAAAAAAGGCAAAAAAAAAGCAAGGCATTCATCATTTGTAACGTTATTTGAAGTACCATGCAAGAGAAATAAAATTTCTTGCAGACTGGGAGACTTAATGTACTTTCTGAGAATTTCTTGTTTGATTCATGTTAAAAAAAATGAGGAAAAATATAAGGAAAACTTCAGCACTGGTTGGCAGCACCACTGTATTGGATCCTTGAAGAGCTTTAAAAATGTTTTATATATGTACATGATAATAGCAAGAATACTTGGAATCTATGAGCATTTCCACAGTTTCCACAATCCTGCCCCTCTTCTCAGCCCTGTTGAGGCCTCACCTGGAGTGCTGTGTACAGTTCTGTGCTCCTCAGTACAAGAGCAGCATGGAGCTCCTGAACAGAGCCCAATAGAGGGCTACAAAGGTGATTAAGGGACTGGAGCAACTGTCTTACGAGGAAAGGCTGAGGAAACGGGGCCTGTTTAGCCTGGAGAAGAGACAACTGAGAGGGGAACCTAATCAATGTACACAAGTATCTGAAGGGAAGGTGCCAAGAGGACAGAGCCAGGCTCTGCTCGGTGGTGCCAAGCAATAGGATGAAAGGCAGCGGGCAGAAACTGAAACACAGGAAGTTCAAACTGAACATGAGGAAGAACTTCCTTACTGTGAAGGTGACTGGGCACAGGTGCAGGCTGTCCTGAGAAGCCGTGGAGATATTCAAAAGCCGGGTGGACAGAATCCTAATGTGCTTGAGCCATGGGGCTGGAGTAGATGACACCACCGGTGGTCCCTTCCAGCCTTACCATCCTGTGATTCTGTGATTTAAAAGTATGACTGGAGCAATTATTAAAGCAATACTAAAACAGAGTTAGCCATGGCATGGCCGATGCCTTAATTAAAGTTTAACAGCAAACCTTTATGAGCAAAAGGTAAAGCAGCAACCAAGAAGCACGCTTTAACAAAGACGGCAGAAATTACTGTTTCTATTAAATTCGCGTGTGTTGCTGAGGCTGCAAACGGTGAATACCGTGCTGGGGACCGCTGGGAAAGAAACGCCCGACCAGAGAGAGAAGCCTTAAACAAAGAGGTCCGGGAGATGATCCGGTAACTTCACTACAAGGTTCGACTGCAGAGAATAGGAGCGGGGCACACGACACGCCTGTCCTGTGTTCCCAGGTAAGGGGAGAAGGATTATGGTCCCGGGTAGCCACACGGGGCGCCCGTGCCAGGGCAGGAGGAGGTACTTTAGCCGCTTCCCCCACAGCCGCCCTGGGGCCGCCCTCTGCCTGGAGCCGCGGGTGGGCCTGCACCCGCCTCCTACCGCCAGGCCCGGGAACGAGGGCAGGCCGGGACGGCGGCACAGGAGAGCAGAGGAGCAGCGGCAGAGCGGGCCGGGGCCGGCATGGTGCTGGTGGTGGTGATAGGCGTGAGCGGCTCGGGAAAGTAGGTACCAGGAAGGCGGCGAGGCAGAGCGACGGATGCCCCGACCGGGGCTCGGCGCTGCTGGAGCCCGGCTGTTCGGGCGCGGATGCGGGTGCGGGGGGTGCGCAGCTCACGGCAGGGGTGCGTAACCGGCCCTTTGTGTTTCCCCGCAGGACCACGGTGGGTTCCCGCTTGGCAGCGAAGGTAGGACTACCTCGCACCGCGTGTGGGCCGCCCTCCGCGGGGGCGGGGCGGGCGAGCACCCCCCTGCGCCGGGCGGGAGCAGCGGGCCGGCCTCCGCCCGGCTTGCCGCTCCCCGAAGCGGGCTTGGGTGGCAGCCGCTGGCGCGGTGGTGCCTGCACCGACTTCAGTTCAGTGCCGTGATGCAACAGCTGTTGCTGCTACCAAGCCGACTTAGTATTGTTTTGCTAATCACCATGGCATAACCGATGATTCACACTGTGATGTAAAAAGCCTGTAATTTCTTAGGTGTCGTCTTTGTGAATTCAGTGATCCTTATTATCTCACCTGGTATGGCTGAAAGACCATGTATTTATTTTTTTCTTAGCTGGGATGGAAATTCTATGATGCAGACAATTATCATCCTCTAGAGAATAAAAAGAAAATGGCAGGAGGAATACCACTAAATGATGAGGTACCTTATATAAACCCTGTAAGAACTGTCATCCATACTGTTATCTCTGTAACCTCATGCACGTCCTGTTAAAGTAGATGATGCTTTTACTATGTAGACTGGTCTGACAAGCACAGGTCTGCATTTGGTAAGGCAGGGGAGGCTTCTTGTGTTACAGAGGATTCTGGCTAAAGAAGTAGTTTATCAAAGCATGCTTGGCAGATCACAAGGGGTATGCTGCTGTTTCAGAATTTGTCAGACGTCTCTCCCTCTACATGCATGCACAGAGTTGCATTTTTGGATTAGAATCATAGAATCTTAGAATATCCTGAGTTGGAAGGGACCACAAGAATCATAGAGTTCCTGGCCCTACACAAGACAACTCCATAAATTTGTTACTCTTCTCTCAAGTCACTTTCCACCATTTATCACTGGTTGACTGGGGAGGTCCCAGATGATTGAAGGTTAGCTAATGTGATGCCCAGCTAAAAGAAGGGCCAGAAGGAGGATCCAGGGAATTGCAGGCCTGTAAGCCTGGCCTCAGTGTTGGGTAAGGTTGTGGAACAGATTATCTTGAGTGCAATCACAAGGCATGTGCAGGACAATCAGGCGTTCAGGTCCAGCCAGCATGGGTTTATGAAAGGCAGGTCCTGCTTGAGCAACCTGATTTCCTTCTATGACCCACCTAGTAAATGAGGGAAAGGTTGTGGATATTGTCTACCTGGATTTTAGTAAAGCCTCTGATACCATTTCCCAAAGCATTCTCCTGGAGAAACTGGTTTCCCATGTCTGGATTAAAAACTGGCTGGATTTATCTGAAAAAAATTCTCTAGATTCTTTTTACAAGCTTCATTCTTTCACTGGTGTTTGGAAGCCTGTATGTTGTCTGAAGCGGCATTGCACACTTGAATGAGTAAACCATTGGTGCATGCTGCTCAGCAAGAGTGAAGCATCTCTTCTGAAAAACCAGAGGTGTAAAATTGTGAGGGTCTTCTTAAATGCCAGGGGTAAGTTACTCTGTAATGTCAGCAACAAAATATTGTTGCATTTATTTGTCCATGTTATCATTTGTTGTGCTCACCCAGCAGTAACAGCATTGAAAGATTACATGGGAGCAGTTGTTTCATGCTCATTAGGCATGACAAAAGTTTGTGGAAGCTTAAAATTTCAGATTAAAGAAACAGCTGATCAATCACTCACATTGTAATTGCCTAACTACTGAGCAAAAGTGTTGAAAAATTGTGGCTATGATTACATTTATTTGTGATTGCTACCAACATAAATAAACTAAGTTATTGAAGATAATTAGATTTAGATCTGTCTGTTCCTGAAAACCTCAACTTGCGTCCAAAATGGGCGGGGGGAGGTGTGTGACACTATATAAGGGAAAAGAAATAACAATTTAAGTTGTACATTTGAATTGTATAATAGAAGCAAGAGAGAAGTTGACTGTCCTTTAGGGGTTTGCAAGGTGCATGCTATGCTTGAATACATATTAACTTCCATCATATACTTGTAGATACCTGTAATATAAAAAGTTCTATTCCACTAAAAGCATCTTATTGATAAAATGCCTAGCACTTCTTATTAGCCTTGAGGCAGTGGTAGCAAATCTACATAGGAAGAAAGAGATTCAAAACTGAACTTGCTGTACAATTTAATGCTAATTTTCATCTCTAGTCAAATGTTTGAGATGTTAGAAGCAATCATTTCAAATTAATTTCATAAAGAATTTTGAACTAACTTGTTTTCTTTCTAGGACAGGATTCCTTGGCTTTGTACATTGCACAATATACTAAGGAGGTAAGAGAATATCTAGCTTTAAAAAGTTTTAGCTAAAGACAGAAAAAGTACCAGAAGTGTTTTCCCCATTGCATTCCAAAGCAGAAATGTATGTAGTAGCGTAAAGACATTCTACAGGTAGTATTTTGACTAATCTAAGCTGTCATAAGAATTGCTGAGCATGAGCTAATCCCTGAGTAATAGTATGGGAAATGGTTGCCAATGATAGTTGTTTTTCTACTATCTGGATAAAAATAATTTCAAGGATCCAGTTCATTAATAAGCCTGACATTAGCTACTTACAAAGAACATAATCACAAAATACACCAATAATAACAGTAGGATAAAATACAGCTATTTTGAGTAAGATATAGTATCGAGCTTTTTTGACGCTGCTTGAGTTTGCTGGAGTATACTCTGCAAATTTGTAGATGACACCAAAATGGGAGGACTAACTGATGCAGAGAGACCTTGAAAGGCTGTAGAAATGGACTGGCCGGAACCTCATGCATTTTAAGTAGTGCAAGTCCTGCCCTTGGGGAGGAACAAGCCCAGGCACTGGTACAGACACTGAGGGACACTCAGCTGTAAAGCAGCAGAAAAGGGCCTGAGGGAGCTGCGGTGGACACCTAAGTCGAACATATGCCAACAATGTGCTCTTCTGGCAAGGCAGGCAACGATATCTAGGGCTATATTAGACAAAGTACTGTTAGTAGGTCAAGGGAGGTGATCCTTCCCCTCTCCTTTTCACTGGTGAGGCCACACTTGGCCTCGTGTGTATCAGTTCTGGGCTCCTCATTATGAGAGAGGCATGGACATACTGGAGAGCATCCAACAATGACGAAGGGACTGGAGCATCTCCCAAATGATGAAAGGCTGGGAGAGCAGGGACTGTTTAGCTGGGCTTTACACAGTGGCTGTTGCTTGTGCACATTAGGTGAGCATACCTCACTGGAGCGCAGGTTAATTCACTGAGAAATTTGTCTGGATTGATTTGCTGGATTCATTGCTTTATGTTGTGTGCTAGCCCAATGCCACTGCCCAGCTACAGAAAGTTTGCAAAGTGTACTTTAAAAGAGCCTAATGCCAGTGTTTAATTATTACTACGAGTAACTAGATGAGGCTGGCATTGGCTTACCTACGTGATAATGGTATGTATTAAAAGTTCTTACTTCCCTTTGAACCTAAATCTGATGACCATAGAATGATTTTTAAATAGGTTTGTACCTAATTTTGATTACAGAATGTATTTTCTTAGGCAGGCATTTTACTCACTCTGCATAGAGACAACTAATTCTGGATTTGCTTTTCGGTGGAACAGATATACCCATAGTTTAATGCTTTGTTTTAAGAAACCTTGCCAGGAAAAAATACATGTGCAAAGCATCCATTGACCTGCATCCAATCTCGTGTTTAACCTGAAATGGGCTTATATGCAGTGCTGCCAATGAGGATGGTTACAGGAAACATAAAATAAAATATTACAGTTAAATCTGAGAGAAGAAAACAGGTGTTGAAAATAAACCTGCATGTGTATTTAAGAACAGTGCTCTGTACTGTTCATCAGCCACTTACCTCTAGGCAGGTTAGTATAGTAATTTATAGATAACGGATAGGGATTTGTATGGATAGTCAATTCCTGTTCTCAGCAATTAAGAAATGATCTTGACACTTCCTTATGCTAGAATTTAATTTAATTTGGGGCAGAATGGTGGCTAATAAACAAGGTCCCTAAGACTGAGATTTTACCAGGAGGCTGGCTGGCCTGACTTCATTTTCAAATCACATCTTTACCTGGATTGGAAATTTGGTTTCAAAATCCTGTCAGAATTACTCAAATACCACTGTCAATATACCATTACTGCTATGGCTGTCCTCTTTGAGGAGCCAGGGCTTGTTTACCTTGTTCAGCAGAACTAACAAGCCATTTTGTTAAACTACATGTGAATATGTAAAGATTTTTGCTTTTTTTCTTTTTGATAGAGAAGACTCATCCAGACAAGATGCAATTCTGGCCTGTTCTGCTCTGAAGAAGATGTATAGGCATATATTAATTAATGGAGCACCTGCAATTGAGACAGAGCAACCAGAAGAAAAACCATCACTAAAGATCCTATTTGTTCATTTGGATGGGCCTATAGACATCATTGCTGGCCGCCTGGAGAAGCGGAGGGGTCATTTTATGCCACCTCAACTTCTCAAGTCTCAGTTTGATACTCTGGAGCCTCCTAGTGCACCCGAGAACTTCATTACTGTCAGTCTAGAAAAACCTCTCCCTGAAATAGTGCTAGAGATTGAGAGCACCATTTTTCAGGGTGAGGCATTGGTGGAGTCATTTTCTGAATGACACATATAGAAATTCTCTTGAGGATATCAAGGTTATGAAAGAGGATTTTAATTATTAAATCGATTATTAAATCAAACCAATTTATTATTCATTTACTTAAATGGATTGCAATATTAAGAGCTGGTTTACTACTCTTGGTTTTTTTTCATCCTAGCTCTGTAAAAGACATAAAAGGTAAAATTTTCAAGAACTTTCAACTTTTTAAACCCTTCACTATATGAAGACAAAACTCTCATTTTAGTAAGAACCCTAAAATGGAAGTCAAGACTCCCATTTTAGCAAGAGCCAGGAAAATCCTGCCAAGGTCACAGAGAATAATTTATTTTCTTTAATTTTAATGTTTACTCTGTCAGACATGGAGATGGGCACATCTGCTATTACGAGATTAAGTAATTTACAGCTTTGCCAGAAACAATATATTTTTCTGGAAGAGGCAGGAGTATGCATGATGTTCCTACACCACCACTGTCTCACTGCCAGATTTTCAACAAGTTGCAGCCTCTGCATTTGTGACCTTGCCGACCTCACCAGAGCACTGATGACATCATGAGAACTTTCATGAACTCTTACTGTATGCACTGAACACCAAGCTAAAATATGTGAGAAAAAAAAGGCAGTGGTGGTGACATAATATACAAAATACAATTGTATAGACAGCTTTGGAAATAAAGTATAAGTGGCATCATGCTGGCTCTGAACTTGCATCTTTAATGTACAAAGTGTACACATTGAATTTGAGTGTGAATCAACCAGTGATCTAAGGTACTGAATGCAAGATTGACAGATTTTTTTTTTTTAGAAAACTTACTCTTTCACAGTTGGACCTTCTCCTTCACTTCCCTTTTCTGGTGGGCTTTAGTCTTCCACCTCAGCCCATGTCCATACATCTGCTTGAAAGCTGTAGATCAAACTATTCCTAACATACATTTTTCACACATTTTTTGTGATCAGAAAATTCCAAATTTTCACCTAGCTCACAGAATTTAAGGTTAAAATCCTTCTTTATTGCTGAAATATTTTTTAAAAAGTACTTTATGTCATGTTACACAAGAGGTGCCTTTTTAGCTTAACTAAATGAAATCTTCAGATAGTTTCTGTGAGAAAGATTTGAGTTTTGTCTGAATGGAGACATCCCCATGTGCTGTCAGATGTGGATTACTTTTAGTGTATCATGCAATTTTTTTTACTCCTAGGAGGATGGATGAACTCCTGTAGAAGCAAACTCGTGTTTCAAAGCATCTTTAGTGTCATTTTTACCTGGATAACTAGTTGAAAAATGTTTGTCTTGGTTCTCACTGTGTCTAAAAATAATAAGGGCTTTGTGGTTTACTAGACAAACTACTGTGCTTAAGTCAGTGCAATAAATGGGCATTATCTTCCTGAAAGTGGCCATTTTTAGACACTGAATTGGGATTGTAGGCATTAATGCACACACCCAGAACTGGTCTTTTCCTGTTTGTTTGTGACCTGAAGGGAGAGAGAGAATACCAGATAGTTACCAGTTTTAGCCTGCTTTTGTAACTACAGCTAGCTCTCAAATCAGAGTCTGTTTGTTCTGAGAGCCTGGTGTGCAAGTTTAAGACACAAAGACAAAGTTAAGTACAAGAGACAGGCGTGTGTGTCTGCTTCTTAACATCCTCAAATTTCAGACCCCTTCAAACCAAGTGACTTGTCAGAACTGTACAAGTTTAGTAGCAATGAAAATCACAGAAACGGCACCCTCTTGTGGCACCTCTGCTTTTAATGAGGTCTTAATTTTCACCCAGGACCCCTGGTGGCCAGCATGCAGGACTCTCACTGCTGCGACCCAGGTTCGAATCCCAAGTCCCCCGGGCAGATGGTAGCTCGTTAGCCCTGTGTGGCCATCCATCTATGAGAAGGTCACTCTAAACAAACCTACGTCCTGAGGACCTCACTGCCATTGTCCAAGCTCGCTTGGCCCCGGCAGATGAACCTTAGGATTAAAGGGTGGGCTCAGTTCAGCGCAGGCTGTGTCTCACCTAAAAAATCCATTGCGCAGGCTGGAAAGGTAAAAGACCTTTCCCCAAATCTTCGTTCGCGAAGACTGGCCATTATTATTATTATTATTAATTTTCACCCAATACACCATTTTACAAACGAAGAGCTTACCTAATGCACCCGTTATTAACTATAGATTTATGTACACTTTTTTCAGACACAATAAAACCAGATCAGGACACTCTACAATGATAGAAAAGCAGCTACATCCTGCCATGCACAGATACAATCAAACCTTTAAATAATTTTTTTAAAAATGGGCAACATTTTCAAGTGTGAGTTCTGAGAAGGCAAGACTCTAATTTTAAGATCTACTTGTCAGCATTTATAGAATGCTCACAAAGTGGCTGTAACCAACAGAATATTGTACTCAACTGTTAAAAACCATTCTCTTTTAGGGAATTTTATGTAAGCATCTTGGGCTTAGTAAGTCTTCTAAACAAACTAGTATGTTTGTACTTAGAGGCAGTTTATGCTTCTTCAAATTAGGTCAGGGTATTTCTCACTCTTTCCTTCTATGCCACAAACATTTCCTTCCCTTAACCTTTTAATATATTTGCATTTTGCTTTTACTTAAAGGTACTGCATAGAAGGTTGTTGTGAACTTAATCAGTTAAGTAGTCTGTTACCTGCTATTCTGAAAGACAACAAAGCATTACTTCTGTTCACTTATATCCTGTGCATCCCAAATTAAAAGATTAAGATGTGAATTATCCCAGTACTAACCACATAAAACTACCCTCAGATATTAATGAAGCTGTGAATATGTACAGTAGAAGAAAAAGCAGAACAATCCCTGTCCAAACACAATCCTACACCATTTCATTTACTTGTTTGGTTTCGTTTGGGTTTTTTTGTTTGGGTGGTTTTTTATTTTATTTTTTAAGTGAACTTAACACTATATTAGGGATGTTGTATTCAAGTTAGTTGTGCAGGTTATTATATTTAGCAAAGCTTATCTGGATGCAAGTACTCTGTCCATTTTTTGAAATATATTTAGCAAATGCAACAAAAACTGGGGAGGAAATGCCTGGAGTTAGAAATTGCTTTTTCTATCTCTGAGCCCGAAGTATCTATGGAAGATACACATACTATACATCCTCAAGAATTTGTGCTAAGCACCGTTTATAACATGCTGTGTAAATACTGTACCTACTACAGCACAGACATTTTTCAATGCCAAAATGAGGAAATGAAATGCTATGTATCCCAATGACAGTATGAATTTATACATTAAACACAGGAAGGGTAGAGTCTTATTAAACTGCACAAGTTATACAGGCAAAAGGAACAGACCAGGTGCCTGCCACTGTAGCCCTAAATTGAGATGTCATTTTATAATTTTTTTTATTAATAATATTTACTTTATTATGCAGCCTCTGAATCAAGATGAGAATTAGGCAGACCACATCCTTTACCAAACTAGCCATCTTGCTGTCACATTCCCAATAGTGTTTCACTTGAATATATGCATTTTAAATCTTTTAAATTACATCTGCCAGTCACACTACTGTGACTTTTAGATTTTTTTCTTTTTGCAGCAGTTACTTTCTCTAGCAGTAGTTTGATGATCAGGCAAGGCAGTTTTGCAGACAACCTTGTCAGGTGACTTGGTCCAATGCAGGGGAAAACAAGAAAGTAGGAAAATAAAGAAACAACCTGCAGGCACACATGCCCTTCTGGTCCAAAATGCAAGCTGCAGATTTCAAATACAAGTTATCGAAGCGCTTGGAGTTAATGATAAGATTGCTTCTGAAAGAAGAAGTAGATGATAACTCTGAAGTGAGAATTTTAAAGACAGACAGAAAAAGGGGCAACAGGGAGGGGGGCACAAACAGGAACATTGTAATATGCTATTAAACCATTAAAGTGTGGGGTTTATTTTATTATTTAAGATGTCGTGAAAACTCTACCTATAAACCTTGTTCTGCTTGCTGTTTTCTGACAAAACTAAAATTTTTACTATGCAAAAAATGGCTCAGTGTTTTACCACTACTTACCAGAAACTTAGTAACTGTTATTAGTTGACAATAATTACTGATAAATATTGATTCTACTTCAAGAAGTAAGCTTAGCTGAAGGCTCAGTGTAGAATTTAGGTCCAACTTCATCTCTTGATGAATTGCAATAAAATTGTATTTCAAATTTAGCATCTCTTAATTTATAACATGCAACAGAAATATTTACATAGGTGAGCTGAATGTTGTCTCAAGTAAGTTAGTTAGTAGCATCTTGGTAAAAACTGTTTCATCCTCACCTCACCCTCCCCCTTTCATCTGACAGCAGCCTTTTTTGATGTCTATAGATGGAGGGGCATAAACATAAAGCTCACAGACCATGATGGTCGGCCATATGTTCAATTTATTATTTAATTAAGTCAACTTTTATACAGTTTAGTTTGTTTTGGGCACATGCTTACAACAAGGTGATTGGATAGCTCAGTCTGTACACGCGTCTCATGTCTCCAGTTCATTGGACCTGATGTTCTGTCCACGCGGCCTGGAATCATACTTGGCATGTAGAGGCCTTCATAATTAGGGGCTTTCTGAAATCTGCAGGTGTACCTTTATCTGTACTTTCTCAAGGCTTTCTTGCTCTAAACATACTATGTTCTCAGACCTTATAATTAGACACACAGCTAATAAGTATAAACATTGCATATTTTCACACAGTCTATAAGTATAAACATTACAGCTTACAACTTCTAAAGTCATGTCAAGCAAGGCCTACAGAAATGCAATAGAAATTGTTCACACAATTTGAATTCTGCAACAGATGTCATGAATTGTATTCTCAAAAAGACCTGCCTACTGAACAATGAGGGAGTCCTAACTTTCTTAAAGCAAGGTCCCAGTAAGGGACACTATAAAATCAACTCAAATTAGCTTCTTTGAAGATTCTAATAAATAGTCATTGTGAAAACAACTCTAAAAAGGTAGTGATTATTCTACAGAAACAACTTGCTATCTATCCATTCCTTATCAGGGGGTCCTGTAACCTCCCTCTGCTGGGCTGAAGGGAGTAGGTGAGAAGGAAAGGTGAAGTCCTAATGAAAAAAGGCAAGTCCTTGCTTGGGACAACAAGACCCCTTCTTGCCCACCTCACCCTCCCAGGTGCCTCTGCATGATAGGTATGGGGCTCTGGCTGTGGAAGGTCAGTCAATGGATGATGAAGATGATGGTGCCTCTCCACCACAGATGTTACCAAGACCAGAAAGACCTACACCTTGTATCAAGACCAGTCCCACATGGAAGAAAGAAGGATTACAGTGGCAGATGGTTCCCTTCTAAAGGGAATGGAAGGTCCAACATGCTGGAAGGAGACTCCCCTCAGGGATGTCTGCTACTTCCCTGGGGCATGTGTCAGGGACATTGCCAGGAAACTTCCTAGCCTAGTAAAGTGCTCAAACTACTACCTGTTGCTGATCCTCCATACGGGTGGTGACAAACTCACAACATGTAATCCAAAGGACATGAAAAGAGACTTCAAGGTCTTGGGATGATTGGTGAGGGAATCTATTCTTCCACGTGCAGGTAGTGACTGAAAGAAACAGATGGACCCAGTCTATTAATACATGGTTCTGTGGCTGGTGTCCCTTCCAAAATTTTTGTTTGTTTGATAATGGCCTACATGGCACCAGATTTTGCTGGCATCAGATGGGATCAGAGGCATCACCTCT